ACGCTTTGGCAGTATCGTATGTAAGCACAATTATGCCATTGAAGTACTTTAAGTTAAATATGTTGTTGTATTACCACACTGAAATGCACTAAGCTCATTTTTACATATATATATTTTTAAAGTATATAGTTTCTTTATGCATAATTTTTTAAAGTGCACACACACATAATTGTTTAAAAAATACCTTAGCTACAACAATATGAAGTGATAAAATTATTTCTCACAGAATTCCGTTTGTCTTGGTCTTCTTTCATCACTCATCACATCACACAACACCATTTATTTATTCACAGACTGGATAGTAATATGCATTAAAATGTGAGATTATGGTGATAATTCTGATTTCATCTTGCTCTACAAACTGCTTTAGTCAGACAAAAGGCCATTAAATATATTATCTTCTGTCTGTCTGTTTTTAAGGCTCCAGTGCCTTATATTTTTATGCCATCAAGACTGCATATTTTTTGCGTGTTTATACAATCTCCATCTGTTAATTATGAGAAGACACGTTTACTTTCACATGGATCACTGCTCTCATTAATATTGATTTGAAAATGTCACGTTTATTCACAAAGTGGTTTCTTACAAAGTTATAGACAAACTGTAATTTTTTTAAATTAATTTTTATTTTTAATATTAATTATTATTAATGTTTAATTTTAAAAATATTTTTCATTTATTCTTAATTATTTGTATATTTAATTTATACAGAATTTCTTACTATATGATAAAGATATGTGCAAATAAGTTTTTGCATTTATTTTAAATATTAATAATAATATATTTTCTTATTTTTTATTTTTATATTTTGTTGTAATTATTTATATTTAATTTCTACACAAATTGTTACTGTATGACAAATGTGGAAATAACATTTGAGAGCTACAAAGTGTTTCTGGAGTTAACAAACTATAATTTTTAAAATAATTTGTAATTTATTTATTTATTTTTTATATTAATTGATAATCTGTTTTTTTATTTTTTATTTTTTTTTTACATATTTTTTATTTATTTTTAATTAGATGTCATTTTATTTTTTCACAGAGGAAAGAAAGTGATGACAGAATTTTCATATTTGGATGATCAGTTCAGCTGATCTCAGTCTGGAGATTGTATTTGATGGTAATTTCTCAGTTAAAATCCAGAGCTGGGAAG